AAAGTTGACAAATTCAATGGTTTGAATTCAAAGATATTCTAATCTCCGTAATTAAAATCAAGTTCCATGTAAATATACATATCAAATCCAATCAATCCATTATGATGATTTTATTGGACCGCCTGAATCGAACATACACATCTATTTAAAAAAAAAAAAAAAAAAAAAACCTACTCTTTAAAGCAGTATAAACAATATTATGACTCACATTCTAGACTGTTGGATTAAATAACATTCAATGGTTGAGATTGCATCATTGACAACACCCAATAACATAACACTGGCAACATTCAATCCTTGGCTTCTTGTACACTCCGAGATGATAGCAGACAAGATGTAACATCTCTGACGGAAGAAAGTGTGCAAGTCCATTCATGTCACTCTGAAACTCATACAATTCATGTCCAGAAGCCAATCAATTTTAATCTCAAAATCTATGTTTTCGGTGTGGTTCTAATGAGGAAGAGAGAAGATGAAGAGATGCACAGGTAGTAGTAGAGGGAGAGAGAGAGAGAGAGAGAGGCCTTCGTGCCTCCAGTATATTTTTTCCTTCCTGGGTTTTGAGTGAGCGAGAGATGAGAGATAATATGAGAAACTTTAATAATGTTTCCGACTTTCTAGTATTATATTTCCAAAGATATTCATTGTTTTGAAAAAATAAATAAATGTATAAGTCAGATGCAATCCCAACTGTTCAAAGTGTTTCAATAATCTAAAAAGTGCGTCAAAATGTGTCTCACGATTCTGATCCTATATTTAAATATACATAAATTTTTATGCGGACGTCTGGACGTTATTATTGTACAGACGTCGTGAATTTTCTATTATCACTCCCTATTTTCATCTCTATTTACAATGATATTTGCACAATAATAACATTCAAACAAGAGAATAACTATATATAAGTTGTTCTCTAATGCAGGTGTCCTTATTTTGCTAATGTCCAGACTTAATTTTTTTTCTTCATTCTTTATGCTAATAAAATCAGCTCAGACACTTTTCTCACTTTTTCTAGTATTAGTACAATAGAAACCAAGCTCTGGCAATACCAAAAAGTCAAGCATCACCTCTAGATTGGGCTTTTCTTCGTTGGTGCCTTGTACATAGAACTTGGGGGTTGTGTTATATGCTTTAGTGCATTTTTTTTAAATGATAATAATATGGAAAAAATTCATTCATTCTCATCATGGAAAAAAACAAAACAAGTCTGGACAGTATGAAGTATCCGGACGTCCGCACATGAGAATATCCCTATATATATAGTCCCTATGAAGAATTTTTTAAATAATTTTATTTGAGGGACACCTTTTAGGATCCCTTACAAATTTTTTTAACAATCCAAACATTTACTTTTTAAATATACATTCATATATCATCCTTGCAAAAAATTAGACAAATCGGAAACCGTTTCGATATCTAATTGTATACTACAAAATCAATGAATACAGTGCTTCAAGAAAGTACTAAA